GCACGCGAGGGGTGTAAGTGGTTTTCATAGGTGGTTTCGCTCTATTTTAAGTACGAGTCATATGCGAGAGCGCTATTTTCAGGCCAGACGACGGCTTACCTTGCCGAGGAATCCGCATGCGATCGCCAGGAATCCGTAGAAGTTGCACTCTTTAGCCGACAAAAATTTCCCTATCAGCAGGATTCGGAACAGCGTGGTTTCGGGTAAAGCGACACCCCGCCACCTTTCCAGCAAGCTTTTCACGCATGCTCTCTCCACGTGACCGAACACGTTCAAAAGGGTCTTCAGGTAGCCAGGCGTGATACCTGACGGATGACTGAAGGCAGGGTACTCCAGTCGTTCCTAAGAAAATACCACAAGGCTAACGATTCACGGTCACCGGTCGCTCGGAATGATGTTACGCTCAGGTCACGGACAAACGCTCGTAACTTGACAAACGCGCGGACTAGTCGTCGCGTCGACAGATCGATCTGTTTTTACGCAAGCGGAAGAAAGGGCGTGGGTTCACAGGCCGTCGCAAGATCGCGTGTAAACTCTCGTGACAGTATTTTTAGAAATGAACTAGAGATCGGTATCGAAGGTGAAAATTTTCCTTTTTTTTTCCTTTTTTCTTTTCTTTTCTTTCCGTGTTTTGCCGAGATGGTTAACAACCGCTTGTATCTTTAACTTTAAGTTTTATACAAACTATCTTCTATCTTGAAATATGTTTCAAGCAAAGGTTGGCTTGTTTCGAGAAAGATGTTCCAGGTTTCTGAAGTTTTAACTATCTGCTGAACAGTGTATTCATTGCCTCATGAAATATATCCAGTAAAATTTAATTTGTTTCATTCGAGGCGGACGTCTCTGCGACATTTATAAATTTTATCCAGATGGACGTGTCTCTGAAATTTTAAGATGATTCCTTGCCTTTTTAATGCGTAGGATTCCCAATGTCAAAGGTTTCATACACTTAATTTCATCTGTTTATCATTTTGTAAAATACGAAGAAATCGAAGTGTTTATAATCACGTTGGAACCCTTCGATTTTACTGATTACTACGCAAAACGATGAAAAAACTGAAGGATAGAATGTCTGAATACTGAAATACTTGATGACAAAATAATGCTCAATAAAAATAATAAGAATAAATGGAAGCATATAATTCCATGGTAGAAAGGCAAAGATCATTTCGGAATCTTAGAGTCACCTAAATAAGATTCAGCGTCATGCCTCCCTCGAAACGAAATAATATCTCAGTTGAGTCAACTCTTAACTGGTATCATTGAACGTTGAGAACAATTTAGAACTTTAAATTACTTACTCTGGGAATTCAATTTCATTTAGTTGTTTCTCTTTTTTTCTTTTTCTCGCTAATCTCAATCGCGGACGATGCAAATGACAAAACGGAAAATGGAATTGAATAAATTGATACTACGTGCGACAGTGGCAATATATTCAATAGCTCGGCAATCGCCACGTTTGATTAGTTATTCCGAATCGATATTACTACATTTATTTCACATTGAGACAATCCGCCAAGTTTTAAATGGAACGCTCCGTGTGATAAAAATATCGACGAGCAATGTCTCGGCCGGATCGTAATCCGCCGAGTATTGTTTCGGGTCACGGACATCGGCGCTTTTATGCCAGATCGAGGTTGCTCCAGCGTCGTGTCGCTTCCCCGCGAACAAAAAATCCTAAGAGAGAGAGAGAGAGAGAGAGAGAACAAGTTTCAACTAGGAAAATAGGAGAATCCGATAGTTCAAGGCTCCTCGAGTCTCCATAAATGAATTCTATTCGCGTCCGGTCATGGACGCCGTCTATAATGCATCGACGTTAAAAGAGAAAAAAGAGTCGTGGAAGCAGAGAGGCGGTGGTCGGCTGTCGCGGCTGGCCAATGAACGACCAGCGTTCTCGATCAGGCGGATTAATTTATAGCGATCGGTTTCGATTAACCGAGTTAATCGATTTTCCTTAGCCCGGCTCGTTAAGCGGACCGACTGCGATTAAATCTGGGAAATTTAGACTCTAGCCGAACCAATTGACAAAATCCGTGGGAAATCCTATCCGGCGAGAAAAGAATTGCACGCTGCGGCGATCCTCAGTGGTGCCTGAATCGATCGATATTTCAATTTAAATGCTTTCATTTAGAATCTTGATATACAACGGGTCTCTCTGCGAAAAGAAAAAAAACAATGTGGAATAAAATTTTTGCATACGTAAAGCCGAACTGGACCCGGTCTCTTCCACTGTATTTGCTCGGAATAATTTCATAAAGACAGATGGAAGTATTATTTTTTTCAAACTGAATTTTATGTAATGTAGAAATGCCTACCTGGTCCGAGCGATTTCATAAAAACGATTATAGAATATGAAAAAAAAATCTACACTACATTTTTCACAATTATTATGCGCAAAAATCTTCGTTCCTGATTTCCTAACTATTATCGTATTATTACAGTTTTTTTTTCGAAAGAATTTTTTACTTTGTTCTTAAAGCACAGTCCTTTATCTGACAAAGATCAATCGAAAGGTTACAGGTTAATATCCTTTTACTTTTCCTCACGAATCTTCGTTCCAAATTCCCGGCTCACTTTTTTTCACAAGGAGTCATGTTTGCACCATCGCAGAGAGACACAGACTGTGTAAATTACCGTGCTCGAGGACCGATATAAATTAATCGTGCGCCGCACGAAATTCTTAATTGCCTCGGAAAATCTAATTCGACTGACGCGGTGTTACGCGTTTCTTGGTTGGCCTGGAGAGAGAGAGAGAGAGAGAGAGAGAGAGAGCGGATTAAACGGACTCGGCGATGCAAGCCAAACGAAACGCCATTAACCGAGCTTGAATAATTAAATTCAGCCGCGGCGGATTGATTTACTCGTCTATCCCACTTAATTACGCGATACAAATCGACGACGCTGGATTCACGTCGGTGCATGCGACGAAAGGCAATGGGAAAGATTACGACTCGACAAAAGCCACTCGAGAAAGAGAGAGAGAGAGAGAGTGCCACTCGAGGAAGAACGAACACGTCCGTCAGTAGCGAGGTTTAATCATCCCCCTTTTGCGAGATAATAGGGATGTAGAAAAGATACACGTCAGCGACATACGCGCTGTACGCGAGCGAAACAAACCCGGCGAGATTAAATTCGGCCCGTGGCGAATTTTCCGCGCGACTCTCTTATCCTATTTCGTAGCTATCATCGTCCTGCTTTACGCAACAATTCTTCTCTTTCACGAAGAAACGTGTGTCTAGCGCCGAGCAAGAGGAGAAGGCGAAGAACGCGTATAATATCGTTGGGGACCATTTACTTTGACAGGGGGGACGTCGCATTTGACGAAAGCACGGAAATAAGCGCAGGTCCATTGCAGAAGATCGTACGGCTGCGTTCGGATGGCGGCTTTCGCGTACTGTTTCAAAATGTGCGGGAACGTCGGCGGAATGTTGATCTGCTCGGCGCAGTAAATGTCTGACATCTTTGACATCGCAGACGAAAATCGATTGCTGTACTGCGTTTCGATGGTCGATACCGCGATTCTCGAAGATCGTCAGTGTCGAATTCTCCTGCCTGAAGGAGGGAACCTCGAACGAATAGTCTGCGCCACATTTACTATATCCTGAAACGTCTAAACTGCTCTTTTTTTCCTATTTTTTTCTATTTTTCGTATTCTTAATGAATATTTTTTTATTGCAATCTATGTATACAGAGACCGTTGCACCGTTGATTCAATTTTGAGTAAAATGCAACGAGATTTTCATTCCACTGTATCTGTTGGACGCAACGAAGGTTAGTTCCGAGTTCCGAAATGTCTCTGAATGTTTGAAAATGAAATATTTTTTTTTATACGCGGTGAAGTTGTTGCAGAAATGGATTTATAATTTTATTGACGAGTTGTGTAACATGTCAGTGAATGAAATGAGTTTTAATTATAGCCGTCTGAGGCTTTCTGATACATAGAAGACATTATTTCGTGTTATTCATTTACCTAATGTCTATTATCATCCAAATATTTAATTCTTCTGAACTGTGATAAATTTGTAATCATAAAGCTGAAAGAGCACTTAACCAATTGAATACTTGAATCTACAATATCATTACACTAAATTATACTATATTCAGATTAGTCAATATTTAACTTGAATATACATATACGTAAGACATATATATATATATATTTTAGTCAAAAATTGGCCAATATCAACGTAGAAAATTTCGTTGGGAACTCCGTCAATTTTGAAGATAACAACGACGAGATTACAGAGAATAGAATGGTTATAGAGAATAGAAAAGAATATAGGGAAGAATCTAATTAAGTATTTTACTCGGAAAGCTGTTCTGGAACCTTTTTTGCATGCAACAGTACAATTTCAACTTCCATCAAGACTCGGCAGCAGTCACCAGACTCGCGACCACCCCCAAATGCTTTGATGTTTCCCTGTGAAAGAACCGTTTTTTGTATCGCTCAACGTCGGATTGAATCTTTTCCGGACAGACGGCGGTTCTTTGAAATGTGTTTTCCATGGAGGACTTTCCTCTTGCTTCACGAATCACGCGTCGGAAACGCATTTCCAATTATGCGAGATAGAAAAAGAAAAAAAAAAAGAAAGAAGAAGGTCTGCCTGAAGAAAGTTAAAGTTAAGCCTTCGATTTTTGCATCTCGAACAAAGTCCTCAGATTTTTATTAACTTATACAACGTAAAACTAAAGTCGAAAGGATCAGGCACGATGAAAAAAATTTCTGTATTATTTTGGTTAAATCTGAGATATTCTTTAACGTTGGAGAAATACAAGCGGGTCGAAAGTCGCCGAGAAAATTTATCGCAAATTTTAAATTAAGCGTGTGCTGCAATCACTTATTTAGTGCTTGGATTCTTGTTGAGATTCTGTTTGCCGTTTCCGCGAGATTCACCTGTTCCTTTCGATATCTCGTGTATAGACTAGCCGTGGTGAAACGCATTTATTATTTACCCATGAGCTGGAAGAATATCCTGGATAAAAGGAAAGCCATCGGGAGCACAAATATTGAGACACGAGTTGATCCAGATGAAAAACGGATATTTACTTTTTATCCAGTTAAATTTCATACGATCGCTATAATATCGAGCGTCGCCGATACACGGTGTCTTGAATCTTTAACCTCGAGCGAGAACTTTTACCCGATGATTAGTAATTTATCAGAGTAATCTCCGAAACTTTTAAACGTATTCCGCACGTATACGTATAGCTGTTAACTCGTATGAATATAAAATTCCAATCGGCCAATCGTTTCATCGATGCTTCGGATAATAATAACTGTTAGTTTTTTTGTACGAAACCAGATGTTAATTCGTTTTTTTTTTTTTTAAAGATCGTTACCTTTATACAAGGTCTATTTAATCAACAACTTAAATACCACTTTGTTCTAGTATTCTTTGCAAACTTCTTTCTGTCGAAAGAATTCCACGTGTGTGTTATTCGAAAATTCAGTTCAATTAATCTCGAACGTCATTTTCCCAATTAATGTCCCGCCATTACGGCAAATATTCCAATAATCTGAAATACCGCGATTCCCCCAATGGGAATTATAGCAATTGCGTTAATTGTGTCGTGAAAGAAGTCTACACTTCGATACGAATAGTAACAGACAATGCTTTAATTAAACACATACTCGCGTTCCTTCCGTTACTTTCATTAATAAAATTGATGGAATCACGAACAATGTTACATGTTTGTTCTCTACGTTGCTTTTAATAATACTCCTTAACTTTCTACAACATCGTGTAATTTGTAAATTACATATTCATACGATACCTGACATCGCGGAAATTTCATTTCGTGGATGTATATTCCGTTACTTCGCAATTGCATGCGTTGCTACAAAAACAACGAACTAATCATTTGTAACAATTGTGAGTTCCCAGGTCAGCAATGTCGAGCAATTAATTAATAATCTCTGTATAAATATAAACGGAGTAAATGGAATTCTGATCGACCCACTGTAAGACTGCGTGACTTGATAGTTACAAATTCACTTAGGTGAATCGGAAAATAACCTATCTGTAATAATTATCCGATCTTCAAGTTTTAAATCGGAATAAATGAATGAATAATCTTTTGCTCTTAGGAGCAAGCAACATTCCATAGAAATAGTAACACCGAACAGGTGAACGAACCTATTACATAATCCAACACTCAGCAACGACACAGCAGCGCATACGCATTTATTATTCTCCGTGCATTCGTACCAGAATAATGCACTCGCTATAGTCATTTCGCGCCTTGCGGAGGGAATCAAACGTCGCGAGTGAAAAGGAGAATCGACGTTGGAAAGTGGGTAAATCGACGCGCTGGAAAGAAAAGAGGGAACTATCGGCAACCCTCGAGGCACGTCGATCGTCCAAATAGCCCCAATAGACTGATTCGCTGCTCTTTGTTTCCATTATTAGGCCGCCGTTATCGTGATTGTCGCGCCGTTACACCCGTGCATGTGTTTACCGGCTTCCCTTCGTTGCGCTTGCACCGATCTCGCGCCGTTCGGATGCATAATGAATCACCGGCATTCGATCGAACTCGAGGGAGAGCAGAATGGAAGCCGCCCCTTGCAAACGCGTACTTTCTTCCGGCCCTGACGTCATTCGAGTAATATCACAATCGTCCACGAAAGTGAATATTTGAATACTCGAAGGAAGATCTTGTGGGATGTGCTGTGACATTATTCGTGCAGAATATTTATCGGCGGCTGTTCACGAAAGTGTTTATGGAAACGTTCGTCATAATTTAACGTTTCGTAAAGTTTGAAAT